CTTACCTCTCTGATTTTGAAATCTTGATCTGAGCGAAGACTCTTTAATGTCTGCTTAAGACGTGAATTTGAGGCAAACCCGTTTGGATTCTCGTATTCAATTGTTGTTCGAAGCAATCTCCAGAGGAGAGAGTAAGGCGGGAATCTCGGATTCGGATTTTCCATTGGTGGTCGGAAATCCAATGCGGTCTGGGAGAAGACCACAAGGAAGAAGCATAGCGATAAGGAAACAAACAGAGACGGGTTTGGGATCGAGAATCGTGAGGAAATCGGGATCGGAGAGGCGGAATCTGATCGGATCTGATGTTGGGTTTGGTGGGATTGTTGTGTGCGGCGTCAGGAGGAATTAGGGTTTTTTGTGAATCGGTCTCTGTTGTCAAAGTGGTGGGGCTGCACGAACAAGGATGCAGCTTCACATATCGCCTAGCATGAGAAGCATCACGATTTCGAGCAGCAATGAGTTTATTGACTTGATGAAGATCAAGGTCGCAGCTCGTCACATCTCTTACCGAACTCTCTTCCACACAATCTTAATCCTCGCTTTCTTGTTGCCTTTTGTATTCATCCTAACCGCTCTTGTTACCCTCGAAGGTGTCAACAAGTGCTCCTCCATTGGTAAACCTCTTTTATCATTGTTCCTGTGTTTGATCTGATTTTGTATACATTTGGCTCTGATTTTGTTGTGTTCTTCATCTTAACTGGTTTGGATCTCTACTTTTCTGATGCGGATTAGCAAATTTTAGGATTGGTCGTTTTGGATTGTCTTTTTCCTTAGCAGCTGGATTTAGGCATATGATTTGGGCAGGCTAACGACAAGTTTTCATCTTTAGTGTCCATTGTTAGGTTGGGATTGTACTTGGATGGCTTAAGTCAACCAAGTTTGGGAATTTTGGATTCTTCTTGTTAGGTCCCCACAAATAAATTTTGTAGAATCTTGGTTTCCAAGGACATGTACGACTTTGATTTTTAGAAGTACATACAATTCTCACAACATTCCCCCAATAAAGCATATGGTTGGATTGTGGAGCTGGATGATATTTTCTGGAGTAAATTTTACAGATTTGTCTGCATTACTAGATTTGTACCAAATTGAATGACTCTTCGTGTATTCCGTCTTTTTCCACTTTACATTTATTTACATGCTGTTTGAAGAAATCTTTGTTGTATACTTTTTTATGGGATGTTCGTTTGTTGAGATTTTCGTGTTCATTTCTATTGATTGTTCTGCTTTCATGTATTTCCCTAGTGCTCATGAGATGCTTTCACTAATTAATTTCCCTTTTTCTTCTTCCTTTCAGACTGTTTAGGGAGGCGGTTAGGTCCACGTTTTCTTGGTAGGGTAGATGCTTCAGAGGTGAGTGGTTGCTTTCTTTAGTTTGTTGCTAATTTTAAGTATTTTTTCATGTTCTGAAGTATAATATTTTTTCCTCGTGGTTCTCTTTCTGCAGAGACTAGCTAGAGACTTTTATAAAATTCTAAATGAAGTAAGCACTCAAGAAATTCCAGATGGTTTGAAGCTTCCAGATTCTTTTAGTCACCTTGTTTCGGATATGAAGAATAATCAGTATGACGCAAAGACATTTGCTCTTATACTGCGAGCCATGGTATGCTTTCTCTACATAATATGCCCTTGCATATCAAATTGGAGACATTTATCTGTGGCACTTGAACTTGTCAAGTCGATTTTTGTTTCTGCATTTGGACGAGATCAACTATTGTTAGTTTTTGTTTCTCCCTGATATGAGCCATATTGATGAGAAGATTATCTTATGTGACAATTGTCTGTCTGTCTTGAACAGATGGAGAAGTTCGAACGGGATATTAGGGAATCTAAATTCGCAGAACTTATGAACAAGCATTTCGCAGCAAGTTCCATTCCCAAAGGCATTCATTGTCTATCTCTAAGACTGACAGATGAATATTCCTCCAATGCTCATGCTCGTAGACAGCTTCCTTCACCAGAGTTTCTCCCTGTTCTTTCAGATAATTCTTTCCACCATTTTATTCTGGCCACGGACAATATTTTGGCTGCATCAGTTGTGGTCTCATCCGCTGTGCAATCATCTTCAAAACCCGAGAAAATTGTCTTTCACGTCATCACAGACAAGAAAACCTATGCGGGTATGCATTCCTGGTTTGCTCTTAATTCTGTGGCACCTGCTATTGTGGAAATCAAAGGTGTTCATCAGTTTGACTGGTTGACGAGAGAGAATGTTCCTGTTCTGGAAGCTGTGGAAAGCCATAATGGTGTCAGGAATTATTACCATGGCAATCACGTCGCTGGGGCTAACCTGACCGAAACAACTCCTCGAACATTTGCTTCAAAATTGCAGTCTAGAAGTCCCAAATACATATCTTTGCTCAACCATCTTAGAATATATATACCGGAGGTAAATCTTTTATCACCCTGTTTGAACTTGCAATTGAGCTATTTGCTAATATCCTATGAAATCATATGCCAATTTCCTCTCTTTTTTCTTCTGGAATAGCTATTCCCGAACTTGGACAAGGTGGTCTTCTTAGACGATGATATAGTTGTCCAGCGAGACTTGGCTCCACTTTGGGATCTTGACCTTGGTGGTAAGGTGAACGGAGCAGTAGAAACTTGCCGGGGTGAAGATGAATGGGTGATGTCAAAGCGATTAAGGAACTACTTCAATTTCTCTCACCCTCTCATCGCCAAGCATTTAGATCCTGAAGAATGTGCTTGGGCATATGGTATGAATGTCTTCGATCTACAAGCTTGGAGGAAGACAAATATCAGAGAAACGTATCACTCTTGGCTTAGAGAGGTAAGTATCAAAGAAGCCTTTGTTTTCTTTAGCAAAAATCTCAAGTTGCCTCACTTTCGTACTCTGTATGCTTTTGGTTTTGAGCAGAATCTAAAGTCGAATCTGACAATGTGGAAGCTTGGAACCTTGCCACCTGCTCTTATCGCGTTTAAGGGCCATGTTCACACAATAGACTCATCATGGCACATGCTTGGATTAGGCTATCAGAACAAGACCAACATAGAAAATGTCAAGAAAGCTGCAGTGATCCACTACAATGGCCAATCAAAGCCATGGCTCGAGATTGGTTTCGAGCATCTTCGGCCGTTCTGGACAAAATACGTCAACTACTCCAATGATTTCATCAAGAACTGTCACATCTTGGAGTAGGAAAACCGACACTTTAAGATGATCTTGAAGGTACTTATAGGTGTAAAAGACAGAGGAAGATAGTGTGGGAAGTCAAAAAAAAGCAGAGATAAAACACACAAGCCACTGCAGATTTTTTACTCACTCTAAAGATAATCAGAAATTTAGTTTGCCATATACATAAGAAACTTGTTGCAGCGAAGGGGAAGCTGCATAACGAGAAAGAGAGAGAGATAAAGATTCATTCTTTCTGTAAAATAGAAGGTACCCTCTTTTTTTTTATAATTCTTTTGGTTTCGATTGGAAAATTCCAATTCTTGAATCTTTTATAAGAATGGTAAAGATTGGATTTGTTTTTTTTTGTTTTGGTTATTAAGAGGGTTCATGACCAGAAAAGCCAGTTGTTGATAATTGAGGAACGATTATACATACACTTTGTTGCATTTGTTCCACTACATTTCTTACAATCATTTGGGTTCGTAATTCTTACTACAATTTTTACTTATGGATTCCATATTATGGGGTTTTATTACGTTTTCTCTTTAAAAATGTATCTTCTTTCTTCATACACATTTGAAGCTGTAAATTTCATGAGACTATGAGATAATTTGAACTAAAATTGATGATTCACATTAAACAAAAATCCAATGGCTTCTGAATYTTAAAAAAAAAAAAAGCGATTAAAAAAGGATTATTTGTCCAGAGCATTTGATTATAATTAAAAAAGGAATTTTAAAGGTTGTGCATTTTCATTGGCGTAGAGTTGGGAAGAAGAGAAGATTGTTTATCAGTGTTGCCTGCTGCTTTGAATGCTATCGAGGCCATGCCCATTTTTTGAAATAAATTCATTATTTCATATTCCGAACGACCATCAATATTCCATTCATATATACCGTTTCTGGTATACATATTACTAGGATATTTATGGTATTCTTCGAATAATAAATCGGGTGCGGTGTGTCTTGGATAATAAGGTTTATTAGACCTCATCATTTTATTTTTTATTCGATTAATTTTTTGATTATCACTTTCTGATTGTATTGATGTTTGAATAGATTTATTATCGTATTCGTCTATTATATTAATTCATTTTCCTTTATCTAGACTGTCTAATCTAGTTGCTATTGATCTTAAAATTTCGTGTTCAGGAAATTTAATTTCTCTGTTTATTGGTTTAAAAATTGGTGATGTTACGGATGAAAAGGGATGTGGTGATATCATAGATGAAGAGGGTTGTTGAATATTTTGATTATACTGGTCTAATTTATTATTTTCATTTATACTTAGCTTGTTATCTATATTGTCCACTTGTTTAGAAATAGTATATAATAATTGACTTTGATAATTATTTTGCTGATATACTAATTTAATATCATGTAAAATTATCGGATCTTTATCATCTTTATTAGCTCATGTTTTAAAAGGTGTGGCTATAACTTGTCGATCTGAAGTATTTATTTTTAAATCTTTTAGTGGAGGATGAACTCATTTGATTTTATTTCCATCTACTAGTTCCCAAACTTGGTTTAAAGAAGAACTAGTATTAATTGTTTTGAATGGATAATTGATATTATGTGTTATTGAGTATGTTTCAAACCATATAAAGAATGAATATTTGTTTCTTTTAATTTCATACAATTATACCATTTTTCTCTAAATTCTATAGTTTGTTGTTTACAAAATGTTTGAAAATACCAATTACGTTTTTCTTCGTTTTCTTTTGAATAAAAGTCTTCTTTAATGTATTGTTTATCAATTTCGTATTCTTTTGATATAACATTTATAGATTTAAAATCAGATGGTGTAGGAGAAGTTGGATACATGTCTTGAATTGGTTCTGCTATTGGTGCTTTAAATTTAATTGAATTATCTTGTTTAATATTTTGATTTACACTTTCTGTTTCTGAATCAGCACTGAATTGACCAGTACGATATTCAAAAGGAATCTCTTGAGTGATACGAACTAATTCTTGGTGGAGGTGGTTCTCTGTATGATCCAAATTGTAATAATATTTTCCATCTTTTTGTTCTAGTATTCTTGAAATATTTTTTTGTTCAAAATTTCTAGGAGGTTGAGTTATTTCAATTTTCCATTGATCTGGAATAGTTATTTCATTCTAATTTAATTGTTTAGGCATACATATAGCTGCTGGAGTATCTTTACTATGGACTGCTAAAATTGTGGTTTCTCCTTTATCGTCTTGTAATAAGCATCTTGGATTTTTTGATCAAACGACTATTTTATAAATCAAACCGGAATCACTCTCCATCAAAGGAGATTACAGGGAAAGAAATTAAAGATGTCTTTGCCAAAGAATCATCAGTAGCATTGTTTAAACGTGAAATGTAATTGAAAGTGATAGCTTCAAAAGAGATTCTTAGGAGGCTAATATCATGGAGGAGTCCCTTTAACTCAATGGTGAAACCACCGGAGTTGATGAGGAAAATAAGAACTTGTGAGACTGAAAACATGTTCAGCTCCTTAAAACCTGCTACCGATGCTTCTTCAAGGGCTCGTTTCATTGCCAAAGTCTCCGCAACTAAGACTGAAGCTACGTGAGGCCGAGTAGCAGACATCTGAAACATAGTGAGGTTGTTAGCGGGAATTTTGTGGAGCCCTGCGCTCATGCTCCCTCCTATAAGGTTCTGCCATGGTGGGGGCTCCTTCTCCATCWGCCGTAGCGCTGTCAGCAGCGTCCATTCGGARACGTCTTGGWTGAGGAGGTTGATCGTCGTCCGATACCTCCATAGCACGTTCGGGGGTTCTATCGATGTCCCGACGCGGCGGCYGTGGAGGCAAGCCRTCCGGATRCGTGCGAGCGGTCRGAGGTGGCAACGCGTGGGGCCGTTCTCGCCGACCGGTCCAAGGTGTGTTGAAGAGGCGATGTGGGTTGATCCGGGACCTCTTGCGCTTACGTGAGGGCGACCTCAGCTCGGTCGTAGTTGCTTCATTGAACTTCTGTTGCTCCTGTGCTCCCTTGACGAGCATCTCGAGCATCTGCTTTATCTCCGTTATGTCCGCTGGGTTGTTAGCGGCGTTAGATGCAGGGTTTTCCACGGAGTTCTCATTCTCCTCGTCGTTCCTGCGAGACGAGGATCCTTTGCTGCTTCCGCTGTTGTTCCCAGACATCTTCRTAAATCTTTGTAGAAACTTAGCTTGTTGTGTCCGAAATTCTCTAGTTCCCCTTAGACGGCACCAAATTGTGGAGGCCAAAACCAACACAACTAGATTTGTTAGGGTTTCGTGAAGAGGTAGAGATTTCTAGGGTTAGCTAAGATCACCAAAGTATCGAAAGTTGTTTTTTTTATTGCTCTGTAAGTTTTTGTCAATCAGATTGCGAGTGCCCTCTCAAGGGTTTTTACATCAAGTATATATATTATCTCTAAGGCGGCTAAACTTCCTAAGTCTTCGCGGATCCCTTCCTTGCCAAGGTCGGTTGCATCAAAGTGGGCTTCGCGTCTGGACCGGGCTTCGGACTGTCTTTGTGTCATCGGGTTGTCTTCATGTCATTGGGCTGCTGGGCCGAGAATGTGGTCGGCCTGTCGAAGGTCCGAGGACGCGGTCGGACCCTCGAGGCTCCGAGGCCGTGGTCGGCTCTGAGGCCGTGGTCGGCTCCGAGGCCGTGGTCGGCTCCTCGGTCGACCCGAGGACGTGGTCTCCCACCTTGCCCCGACGCTTCCTGCTTTGCCTAGACTTGCCGCACGATCACTTGCTTTGCTTCGCGGGAAGACTTAGGTGCTATTCCGCCTTGTTCGTCGAGAGTCCGGAGGGCCACTTTTTCAGTTGTCTGACTTTGAACGTTAATGTTGAGCGGGTGAAAACCGACCCCAACAGTCTTCCAACACAGTCCATTACTTCCTCACTCGTCAGTTGTCATGGTACGAGGAGCCATGAGATGTGGATGTTGATTGGTGGTCGCCCAATTAGGTTCTCTTTGAATGAATTCTCTGAAATTACAGGCCTAAAGTGTGATCCATTCAATGTTGAAGACGAGTGTGATGTCAATCACACGGACTTTTAGGGGAAAATGGAGGTATCTGTATGTTTAGGACCTAGATTGGATGATTTGAAAAAGGTGTTGCAAAGATGCCAGACATGGAGTTTTGAAGAAAGGAAAATGGTTGGTTTGTTATGTATTCTCTCTATTGGAATCCTTGGTATTTCTCATTCCGGCAGAATTCCTTTGAATTATGCGAAAATGGTTTCCAATCCATAGCTCTTTGACAAGTATTCGTGGGGTCGAGAGGCGCTTGATCGAGTCCATCAAAGAACTTTCTTATGAAAAAAGGTCTAGCATATACAGTCCATGGATGCGCTTATGCTTTGCAAGTATGGGCGTATGAGTCAGTTCCCATTTTAGGAGAACTGTATGAGAGTCGACGACAAGGAATACAAATTCCTCTTCTTTCTTGGGCTAGATCAATAGGCCGGCAAATGAATTGGAATAACATTCTGGCAAAAGAGAAAAATGTGCATGACAAGGTATGAAATTCTGTTTTTTTATCAATTTGTTCTTCTATTGTTTGACTCTTAATCTTATGAACTTGTTATAATGTGTTAGGTGTGTGTTAGGCACTTAGTTGTGAAGCCAGAAGCAGATATATATCGTCTTTGGGATAGCGATGACGAAACGGATAC